CATTTCTCTACTTGTGAGGATTTTCCTGTTGGCCACGGTGAAAGCTATAGTAGTGTTTTCCTATATGCTGTTTAACTATATATATATATATATATAACTGAAAGAGAAAAGGAAAACTCTAGGATCACTGTCTCATGTCAATACTTTTGGATGTTCTCCCTGTATCGTTCATGTGGATGTGAACATGGTTGACTTGTTACATTCAGCTTTTTTACCTGCATCCCCTTCTCTAGCTAAGAAAAAGGTTTGATCAGTGTGCAGCTGTAGTGACTTTATCTCTTGTTGCCTGTGGCATATATTTGCATTGCCAGTGGTTTGAAATAAGGAATGATGCAGCACATCACAGCCTGGTAAACAGAACAGGTAGCAAAACCATTGCTACATTTGGATAGGCTGAAAAAATCTCTTTGTGTTGTCCCTCTTTCCTATGTTCTCAGTCCAAAATGTCTCTGAATCTCTCTTCCCCTTCCTGCTTTTTAACAAACGTTTTATCTTTTCCCTCCCTGTTTTTGTACTAAGCTGAAGTAAGTCTGAGGCTTCCCAAAAGCAAGGAATCTGCAATTAACTTTTCTTACTGCTTTATTATGATAAAGAATAGCAGCATGGGAAACAAAAGGAAAAATGAAAGGTACAGTGACTAGAAGGTATCTGGGGACTGACTGGGCTTAAAGCCTTATTATTTCCTCTTTTTGTGACACTCATCCTTGGTTTTCTATTTAATTATTGACTATATAAATATATCTCATAAAAGTCCTGTTGAGAGTAAATGACTGTAATGGTTGATCACTGTAAGAGTTCATCTTAATGTGTGCTTTCATCACTACCCCTTCCAAAGCTTTCAAATAGAATCATGCCCATTTCTCAACATACGGATAAAATTTATTTAACCAGTGTCTTTTTGCCAGTAAACCTTTGTTGTGTTGCCGCTTTGAATCCATTGTGACCTTCCCTTTTCCCGTTGTGACCTTCCCTTTTCCCATTGTGACCTTCCCTTTTCCTGGGAGGAGATGGTAGATATGAATCATGCACCTGACCTATGAAAACAGGCTTCTGTGGTGTTGTGGACCCTTGCATGCATTTAAGCTCAGCCACAGGTTGTAGATGTTGCTGATAACCACTGTGTTTCCATGTGAATACTCATAACTTGAGCCTGGTGAAGGGCAGGATGGGAAGAGAGAATATCTTAACTGTGATAGAAAGGCTCTGAACTCATGGATGTGTGAAATCAAGCCAAGCAATGTAGGCAAAGGCTTATGTCTGAGGAAGAGGAGCTGTTAACACTGGTTCTGTCTTCCAGATAGTCATAAACATGCCTTTAAATGTGTCCACATTAGTTGGGTCTGTTGCAGTTATGGTTTAGAAGGGAGAGTTTTGTGTGTTAATGACACCACAGTAGCTTTGCTGCAAGAAAAATAGAGGTTTAGTGTTGAAGGGACTTACAGAGTGGGGTTTTTCCTGCTTGTTTGCCTGGTTTTGCTTTTGGGTGATACAGAGAAGCCTTAATATTTGGTGGTATCAGGAATTCTAGCTTTGGTCTTTAGTTTCCTGCACATGAACTGCTGGGTTTTGCTTATTCAAAATGAGCACTGAATCTTCAGTGAGTGCTTTATCCTCAAGACAGTTAACTGCAACCTGTTTGACCTGGAGAGAGAGAGAGAGATTGGATGGAGAGTTGTGTTCTGAGACCCCTTCTATGGTACTAAAATGAACTTGTGTTGAGAATTGCACAAGGAAAAGTTTGGCTTTTGCCGGAGGGAAGGATGGGTCTGAATTTTGGGTGACTCCGCACAGGACCACAGAATCCTTCCTTTGGGAAGGTTTTGCTGTTTAAAACAGGGTCTTTTGGATTTTATGGGGTTCTATAAGGTGATTTGATTGCGTAGAAGAAAGAGTCGTAGGGGCTGCAGGCTCTGTGCCTGCAGCTGCCCTCAGGCAGACTCTCAATGTGTGACATTGATGGGAGACTTGAAAGAGAGGGCTTTGCTTTTCTTCTCGAAGATGATGGCCCATGTGTTTAGCAGGGAAAAGGAAAGCAAAATAAACCCCTTATTTTCAGTTCAAAATGACATTAAAATGTGAAAATAACAAATCTTATATTTAAGCAGCTTTCTGTCCCAAATAAAAGTGGTCTGGAATCACGCTGACCCATCCCAGTGTGCTGGAACACAGATGATACAGAGCGGAGCTGCATCAGTTCATAGTGAGGAGCTTGTGGGTGCTCCCTTGGCTATCCTAAGAGGGGATTGTGCCTTTCTGGGGACGAGATCATGGAATCCCAAAATCTCAGGTTGGAAGAGGCCTCAAGAATCATCTGTTCCAACCTTTCTAGGTAAGTACCCTGGCCAGTCCAGCCTTAAAGATACCTGATCTTGGGAAATCCACCACTTCCCTGGGGTGATCCCAAACTATTCCATCATTATCCCAATGGCTGGTTGTTCTCAGTGCGACAGATTTTCCTCTTGTGTTCAGGCAGAATCTCCCCAGGAGTAACTGATGCCCATCTCCCTTCTTGCCTTTTCCACGTGTGTAAGAAGTGAGTCTCCATTTCTTCGCAGCCACCCTTTAAATACTGAATAAACCCAGTTTTTCCTGGCTTCCCTCACACGCTTCCCAGTCCATGGATCATCCATGTGGTCCTCTGAACCCTCTCCAGCCTGTCCACACCTTTTTGCGTAGCAGGGAATTGAATTCCATGTGTGGCTTAACAAGTGCCGCGTAGAGCAAGACAATGACACCTTTATCTCTGTTGATGATGCTCTTGATGTCGCTCTGCATCCCCTTGGCTTGCTCTGCTGCATCTGCGCACTGTTCACTCGCACTGATGGGGATCCCCACTTCCAGGTGCAGCCGGTCCCATCCCAGCCGGGATCACCCCACTCCCCCTGCCTCCAGGGTGCCCCAAACCAGGGGCCCACCAGCCCGGTGATGCTCAAAGCCGCTCCGAGTCCCGCCTCCCTCCCGTGTCCCGCTGCAGGAGATGGATGCTTCCAGCTACCCCCGCCTTGCTGCAGCAGTGGTACGGCTCCCCCCCCCCCCGTGAAGTGGTACGTTCCAAGCCTTTATAAGCGGTCGCCGCCACCTTAGCGCCCTTTCGCCATGCGTGCAGGGCGGTCGGTGAGGAGAGCAGCGGGCATGGGGCGGTTGGGCGGTAAAGGTGGGCAGGGAGAGGGGCCGTTAGGGTGTAGCACGCTATGAAGTAGCCATGAGGTGGGGGCCCGCACCCCCGCCCCGCCAGCTGTGGTGTCGGCCGTGCTTCCCGGTCCCCGGGGCCGCTGGAGTTGGGCCGGACCATTCGGGGAAGCGGAGGGGGGGAACACGCGGAGGGAGAGCGGGCGGGTAAGGGAGGGCTGCGGCATGGCGGTGTGTGGCGCTGACTGCCTTCGTCCCCACAGGGCCGGGCATGGAGGTGGGAACCGGCACCGGGGCGCCGATACCCCGTGAGAGGAGCCGGGACCGTGCTGGGAGCGGTGCGAGCCCGTTCTCGGTGAGTTGGATGGGGCTGCGGCTGGGCGGCCGGGGCATGGCGCGGGCTGAGGTAGCGCCAGGCACCGCCATGCCTGAGCTGTAGGAAGGACAAAAGGACATGGAGCTGTTGGAACAAGCCCAGAGGAGGGCCACGAGGATGCTCAGGGACTGGAGCACCTCTTCTATGGAGACAGGCTGAGAGAGTTGGGGCTGTGCAGCCTGGAGAAGAGAAGGCTGCGTGGAGACCTCAGAGCAGCTTCCAGTATGTGAAGGGGGCCTATAGGGATGGTGGGGAGGGACTCTTCATTAGGGACTGTAGTGATATAAGACATGGGGTGATGGGTTCAAACTGAAACAGGGGAAGTTCAGATTGGATCTAAGGAGGAAATTCTTTCCTGTGAGGGTGGTGAGGCACTGGAATGGGTTGCCCAGGGAGGCTGTGAATGCTCCATCCCTGGTGGTGTTCAGGATCACGTTGGACGAAGCCTTGGGTGAGATGGTTTAGTGTGAGGTGTCCCTGCCCATGGCAGGGGGGTTGGAACTGAGTGATCTTAAGGTCCTTTCTAACCCTAACTGTTCTGTGAAGGGCTCAACATGGGAGTTAAACCCCGGTCACATTCGATTGCCTCCTCGTGAGCCTTCTGGTCGCTTTCGGGCTAGGCCTTCATTCCTGGGGCAGAGGCCTGCCCTCGCTCGGGGTTGTGGGGGTAACACTGCGGTTAGCACGTGGTATTCCTGTGTTTCCATGGGTTTTCAGCTTTATAACGATATATTTAGCAAATGGATCACTCCATCAGAGGGCTGGAGCATCTCTCCTGTGAGGAATGACTGCGAGTTGGGGTTGTTCAGCCTGGAGAAGATTCCCAAGAGACCTTATTGTGGCTTTTCAGTACTTAAAAGGGGCTAAAGGAAAGATGGGGAGAGGCTTTATCAGGGCCTCTTGCAGCAGGACGTGGGTGATGGTTTTAGGGCATTGGTCCTGAGGTCCTGGTTTTGGTTGTGTGTTGGTTTGTTCTCCTGCATAAATCTACTTTATAAAACTGCTTTATAATAAGCTGTTACTTTAGAAACCTACTTTTTTTCCTAAACTCACTGTGCTGACTCTTCTAGTAATGCTTCTTTTGCTTTATCCCCACAGCAGGAAGATGACTTGAAGTAGAAAAGGTAAGTTAAAGTTTTAACTTGCACTAAGGTGTATGGAAAGTTTTTGATGTGAAGCAGTTAATGCAGGACAGTTAGTAAAAAATAACATGTAGCAGTTGCATCTTAAAGCAAATTAGCTCAAACCTCATTTTACATATCATTACGAGAGCTAATGCCTTTCATAAGCCAAGGGGGAAACAGATGGCTGTTGGTTCAGGATGAAGCACTTTGTGGTGTTTGAAGGGCTCGGGTACAAAAGTTGGCTGTTGATGATGATAACCCTGAATAGGAAGTGCCGTCAGATGCGAGAACTGACGATAACATCCTCACGTGTCTGAAACACAGCTGCGTGCCTGCGGGGTCTGGGTTCTTAAGTTTGTCTTCTGGAACTAATGGGGCAACCCTTAATTATGCTTGCTGTCCGTGAAAATTGCCCTTGTCGTATCTTAACATAGCCCCGTGTCCATCTGTGTCACTGTCTGCAGAGCCTGGCTTTCCCGATAAAGGTGTCATAGGGAGTAGATTACACTTTGGAGATGGCCCTAATGTGAAGGTGAGTGATGAATTTAGAATCATAGAATCGTTAGGGTTGGAAAGGACCTTAAGATCATCCCGTTCCAACCCCCCTGCCATGGGCAGGGGCACCTCACACTAAACCATCTCACCCACATCCAACCTGGCCTCGAAAAATTTCACTGACTCACGTAGAGCTTTATACCATGTGGGATCTAAATTGGGAACAAGTGAGGTTTATGGGCTGTGAAAAACCTCAAGAAATGTATTTCATAACTTGAATCGATCCACTTCCCCTCCTCTCATCCTCAGTATTCAAAGCCTGATGCTTATTTCCTGGTATCTATATTTAGGTGTAGCTTGCAGGTCTCTGCTGCCATGTACTAATTGTTCCTCACATCTACCACGTGATGTTACAGCTCTTCACAAGTCCTGCAGAAGGCAGTGAGACAGCATGAGCAGGAGGTTCCTCTAGGTGAGTTTAATACTTGGTGTGCTGTTAGTTTAACATGATGGGATTTGTCTGCAGTCTCAGAAACGTGATCTGCTTGAGAACATTCCCGTTGGCTGTGTTTCTGTCTGTATATTCTTAGCTCTAGAAGTATAATAATTGAAGTTCTAGGCCAAAAAGTAGTTTGTAATAAAACAAGGGCAGCAGATGTGTAAGAGCTGTTGTCTTTTGCACTGCGGTTTTGCTGATGGCTCTGTAGAGCAAAGGGATAAAGGTCTTCTTTCTGCTAGAAATAAAGGTATCATGTGATGAAACCAACCACAAGTTGCTGGAATTACCGGCAGATTGACTGGTGGTGAGCAAAGGGTTTTCTGATGATATCCCTTACATTAGCAAATGGCTTGATGCTTGCTGGGAGTGGTTAACTCACCCATGCTGTTGTGTTACAGGTGTTTACGCTGAGAGCATCTTGTCTGAGGGAGAAGGAATCCAGCAAAACCCGTGTGTGAGCTTGGAGACCAGTGTTTGTACTTAAAACATTAAGAAATGGTAACAGTTACACTGTTTTGATGGCACATCTATTAAAACCCTATCTCAAAGCAAACAACTGGGTCTGGTTTTGTCACTTGATGCACTAAGGAATGACTTTCCATTACACGGCATGTTTTTAAAAGCCATGCTGAGCACTCCTAGAATTCACTATAATATAAAGGAGATGTATACACACCACAGTGTAATTGCTGCAGATAATTAGGTTTTAGTTGTGTCAGCATCTATCTGGTATTTGGCAATTTACTTTAAACAGTTTAAACAAGCGATGCTTACACTGCTGCTCTAATTACTGGAGAAACGAGGCCTTAAATACCTCTGCAGCAAGAAGAGCAAACACAGCTATTTCTGTAGCTTGTTTCCAGGCCATTTCTTCATTATTTTGGCCTCAGTCTTTTCTGAAGTCTGCTACAGCTGTAGCAGAATCTGTCCTTGCAGCAGCAGCATTCTAGCTAAATAATGGTCCAAACGTGTGAATCTAACATTAATCACCAGATGTAAAGGAAAAGAGGCTCAAACTCTGTAAGTATAGGAGGTTTGGAATGTAAGAGTCTCATCAAGCCTGGAGTGACTGAGCACGTCCACCAGATGTTACTGATCATTTTGCCCACTTGGTGTCAGCAAGTGAAAGATTTTAGTACAGCTTTTAGTGTGCTTTCTGAGACAGGTAAACTTCATCAAGATACTAGTTCCTTGTGAGCACGCACTCATTCTGTGCCAGCAAGGACTGAAGGAATGTTAACTGTACAGCTCCAGGTAAAAGATACTTTGGTATTCCTTCTGAAAGCAATGAAACTTGGACCCAGTTGGGAATATTGCCAGAGGGGGTGTGGCTATTAAAGAACCATTCAGGACAGGCAACAAACCAGTCAAAAATAGGTATTTTCTCATGAGTAATAGTTACTGTAGTAATTCAGGTGAACAGTTCTTCGCTGTCATCAAACAAAGCAGGGATTTGTAGTCCATAAACGCACTGTTGGCAGTGCAAGCTTGCTTGTTTTCATGATGGGACATGGGGAAGTGGTGACAGTGGGACATGAATGTGAGTTCAGTCCTGGCTCAGGGACTGCCTCAACTGCAAAGACCTGGGTCTGGTTTCTTGTCTGACTTACCTCCTGACTGATACCTGAACGAAGGAAGGTGCTGTGACTCGTGCTCCCCGTCTGGCATCACAGGGCTGTGTCCGTGGAGTATGCAAAGTGTGGTTGGAACTAACTAGTTTCTTTTTATCTATCTGATGCATTTGAGCAGTTGGAAGAACAGGTTACTCCAATGTTCCTTTTAATTAACATTTTAAAGTAGAATTGCATTCTGTTCCCAGCATTTAAAGAGAACTTATTTTTGCCTGATTTTAAGAGCTTGTGTATTAGAACGTGTCAACAGAAGGTCTTTCTTAGATGGTGTAATACACATTAGAACTAAAAATGGTTTCAGAGCAAAATGCCCTTAGTAAACAGGAACAACTTGACAAATTCTTATGTGACTTTAATTTGCTCAAGATGGGTTTGCTGCAGCTTGGTTTTTTAATTGTTTGATTCTTTCTAGTACGTATCAGAACTATTAAAACGGAGAAGAGTTGATCTGGGAATACTTCTGTGAACAGGAAAGTGTCTGGGCTTATTGAAGTTACAAGTTGCTCTCTATTATAGTTAACTATTCATGAGTTTCATTTTAGTATTACTTGTTGTGTTCATCAAAACCGAAGGTCCTCAGCGGGGATCCTCTAACAGGCTGGGGTTTTAAAAGGAATGAATGGGAAAGTGTTATTCCTATTGGAATATGGAACAAAATAGAAGGCCTAACCATATTACTGTGATCTTTCAGGGGAGCTGAGATAATCTCACTATTCATCTCGCAGTGCTTGGGGGGAGGAGAAATGGAGTCATTCTGTTTTGATTACATTTGGAGCACATCAGCTTCACAGTGTTGGGGAATAAGCAACAGGAATAAAAAGATCCTGATTTAAAAATACCATTATTTTGGCTTTTCTAAAGGTTTAAGAGAACAGTTGGCAGGAGGCCCTGGCACTCAACAGCCGCTAACAACCATGGATAGATCTGAAATAGATGAGAGGATTAAAGCAGAAAGAAAAACCAGTGAAGCTCAGCATGGCTGAGTGCCAGCTCTTAGCAAGGGGAGAGATGGCAACGTCATGTAGTAATTCATTTGTGAGAGAAAACACAGTGATTACGTGTTAGCTGCAGAATACGTGCTCTGACTGCTGACCTGGTGGAGAGTAGCTGCTCCGTGTAGTAGCCTTGCTGTTTGCTTCTTCCCTTCTGTATGAGATGGTGTAGAGGATGCCTTGCCAGTGTTTGGCTTCCTTTTTGTAAATCACAAGCTCCACATTTCCTGTAAGTGCTGGTTATCATCATTATTTCTTGATTAGTAGTATAAAGCAATCAGATCTCCATCAGCATTGAAATCACTCATGCAAACCCATAAATTACTATAATTAATATATCCCAGCTATTAGCTAAAATCTAAAGATGTTCTTTCTTGGCTTGGTAGCTGCCATTTCAGCTCAGTTTTAGCTGGCTGTAGCCACGTAATGAGAAGGGAGGAAGGGGTACACTGTATTTTACCTTTTCAGAACAAAATAAGCCCTAAATTTGGAAGCTTCACTCCTTTTCTCCTGAAGGCAGATGGAAAAGCAGTTCATCTTTCACCTCTGCTCCCTCTTATTTAAATTAGTGAAAGAGAAGCAAAGCACCATCAGAGGAGTTGCTGTTCTCTAGCAAGGAACAACGGAGATGATACTAGTTTTATGCCAGGGAAATTTATGGGCTTGTTTTCTTCCAACTGCCACATTAGCAGATGCTTTGTCTGTTGTGATCTCAGATGCTACAGGCAACTCAGAGCAAGGAGTGGAGGCTCAAAACAGCTGGGGGGTGTTTGACCTTTCTCATGCAGGCTCAGTGCTGTTCATAGCTTCTGATGTTCACATCTCATGTCTTCCTATGAAGAACAAGGCTGACACATCATCTAGTGGTCTGGTAGGGTGGCAAACATGCACCTTATTTTGGCAGATTGTGTAATTTAGTGTCTCAATTTTAGGCTTAAAATCAAGTTTTGGGCAAATGTTACCAACTGCTCCCAGTACTTAAAACTGTAAGATGTTAATGGGTGGAACTTGATTCAGAGCATGCAAGAAGGACAGAACTAAAGAACAAAAAGCATTTTGTGCTCCTGTACTCTTAATTCAGGAAGAGGGAGAATAACGTTTGCCCTGTGTTACCTCCTGAAGCTGGAGCCCACAAGATGGTGCAGTGATCAAATTCAGGTTTATCATAGAGAAAGGCTTTGCAGCCTTGGGAGAATCTTGTTTGGGGATCCAGTTTTACTGCTGGTTCCTTCCTGGTTGTCTAATAAGATTTGCAACTTTAACATGCAGAGCATCCCTTGCACAGGGAAAATACCCCTCTTTATCTGGCTATTAGTAATGGTTGTTAGTGCAGCACCAGCAAGGGCTGAACCTCTCTGTTTTCTTTGATGCTATGCAAGCAATCCCAGCCCCAAAGTGGTTTTGGTCTAAGCAGTCATCAGTGACACAAGAGTGTGTGAATAAAGTGTATAATTAGAAGACAAAAGAGTTAAAATTCGGGTTTCTTTAGTAAAAATAACTACATGAAGGATTATCTGCTTTTCACTCCAATGCAGTGGTTGGAGGGACTTCAGCCCAGCTGCTTGCTAAAGCCCTGCTGTGGTTCCTTGGTGGTGCGTGTTGAGCATCAGCTCAGCTGAAGTCAATAGACACCTCCCAGCCCAGTACCTGTGTGTGGAGCTGTAAACCCATGAGAGGCTGCAGATTGGGTTTGGAATCCTGCTGTTTGAATCAAATTGGAACATTCAGAGTTTCAGCTCCAAGAGTTCAGGCCTTTCCTGTACGTGCTGGTTTTTGGGTGTTGGACTCCTGCTGATGCTTGCAAGTCAATACTTGGATTTTCTTTGTAACAGCGTTTTTAGTTGTAAGGATTTGTGATAAAATAACTGCATAGCACAGCTGCACCGTGAACTCTCTAAACAATGAAATAATCCATGTTTCTAAAGCTTCTTATGGCTTTCTGGTGGGCTGCCCTTGGGGTTTTTAATGCTTTTAATTTCTTTCTTAGTCTTCTGAATGATTTCCTTGTTTGTGCTTTTTCCTTACCCTTTAGGAGGATTCTCCAGGTTTGGTTTTCTTCATTGCTCTTGTATTCTGTACACCTGCTGGCTGCACTTGATTCGTTTGCATTGCCTATGGGTTTGTATTCAGTGCAGTTATCACTGAAGTTACAACTGTGGAATAGGGTAGAGGTTTGATAGCACATTCAGAGATACCTTCCTAGCTAAGTCTAAGCTTATCACCCATATAATAAATAGTCCTGAACAGTTTAAACTTTATTAAATACTTGGGTCAACATTTGAGTGGTATTTGGTTCTTATCTGACAGCAAAGGCAATATTGATGTGTTGGTGATCTATGAGTATGTACAGCAATATAATGTGGCCCACAGCAACAGGAGATGAAATGCTTTATATAGTGCTTTACATCTCTTGTGCCTCCATCACATAATCTTGAACTGATCTGCTAGTGTTCCCATGAAGCAGCTTTACCTCCTCATTCCAGATAAAGAAGCTGGAGATGAGAGCCTTGCTGGGGGGGGGGGGATGATGAGAAAAGGGAAGCCCCATTTGGTCAGTTGGATGAAGCATTTTTACTGACCTGTGTCCAATCTGGTGTTTATTACCTTCAGCCATAGCAGTAAATAATAGTCTTTGTGCCAAGTGCTCCTGGGGATGTGAATACAGAAGATACTTGCTGTGAAGATGATGGGAATCGTGTCAAGGCAAGGGGTGAGCTGGGAGCTTTGAAGTGCAGTGATTTCTGAGGGTAATGGGAGGATGCTGCACCAAGGTGTGTGCGTTTTCAGTTTGATCATGTACGTATCCAGTCATCTCTCAACCAGCCTGTATGCTTCTGCACTGGAGGAGGAAGATACTCTGTCTTTGCAGGGGCAATATAAAGCTCTTGTGTCAGCACCAGGCTGTTTGGTAGTCCAAAACAGGAGACCACGTCAAAGAGAAGGTATTTCAAAGCTCCTGCTTTAAAAGCTTCAAACAGGTCTTTGGAGATGGCAACAATGCAGTGCCTCTTGGCAGCGTATCAGCAGCTCAGAGGCGAGAGAGGAGGAGGAAGAAGAAGGGTTTCAGGGTGGAGAAGAGCAGGACTGAGGTAGCAACAATGACACCTGCTGTGGTACCTGCAGCTGGTTACATGGATGGAGGCACAGCTCTGGTCTGATGGCTGCCGCTGCTCTGGGTGGCTGTTGGTGAAGGTTTTGGGGGTCAGTGGTTTAGTGAACACTCAGCAGCTTGTGTCAATGGAAAGAGGGAGGTGGAAAAGGCAGCTCTGCTTCCTGAACCCCTAAGTCCAGGGGAGCAGCAAGTCAAGGCAGTGGGTTTGCAGATGGGATGCTGCAAAAGGATGTGTGAAGTACATGGAGGAAATTGGAGATCACGAAGTCAGAGGAAAGGGATAAAAGGAAAGTGGAAAGTGGCAGTGAAGTTACACTTTGGGGAAGCTTCTTCCCTCTTAGAACCTCTGGAGAAGCACATTCAGGAGCCTGGTCGCTGTGGGAGTGGAGTTTTGGCCTGTTCAGAGGGGATTTTTGTGCAGATCTGTAACTATGAAAGCAGATTTAAACTGTCAGACGCTTCTCACCTTCACAGGTCTTAATCAAAGGGATTAAAACGGCACCTGCAATTCCCCCTAGCCCCTGATAATGTGGTCACCTGTGGAAAACCAAGGTCTTGCAGGTCCTTGCAAGAAGGGGTGGCCCAATCTGTGCTGAACAACATCAGAGCCTGATGAACGCAATTAGAAGCCTCAGGGCTGCTGCAGGGCTTGGCTGGAGGTCAGGCCATTCGCTGAGTCATTGATTGAACACCTGGTGCTTGTTGGGGGCCTCAGGTGAGGCTGTTTATCTCCCTTTCCTTTCTAACCCCTCCCATTTAGTGCTCCTGCATAGGGTGAGGATCCTGGGTTTTCCTTCTCTTTCTTCCCTTGGCAAAATCCACTACTTTATTAAAGTAATACTAAATTATTGTGCTCCAAGGAAGGAATAGGGCAGTGCTGGGTGGGTTTGGAAGTAGTCCAAAGGAAGGGATGCATTTCTGATGGATGGTTAAGCAAGGAGCCTTTGACGATGCAGACCTGAAGGCAGAAGGGCATGGCTGTAGGAGGAGGGAGAGGTGGCCCCTACATCCATTACAAGAGAAAACGAAGGCAGGTAAGAAAAACTCTGATTTCCTGGAGAAATCCTGAGCACACTTTTCAGGTTTTCCTAGGAATGAACAGAGGGGAGATGGAAATAATTGCTGGGCATGGGGAAATGCTGCTGTTTGTGCACAGAGGGGGTTGCAAGAGGGGGCTGTTGGTGTCTGTTGCTTTGGAAGGAGTTTGGGGGGGGGGGGGAGGAGGGAAAGGGGAAAGCAATGGATGATTTGGAGGAACACAGTGATTAAAGACCTTTAGAAACTTAAACGTGTAAGAGCTGTGCAGCAGAGGTGATGTTTTGGTGCGAGTGTATGGTGTTGCTTAATCCCTGCCAGATATTAACCGGTTGCTTGGCTCTTGCTTGGCAGTTCTCATGAGGGAAGGCTGGTTTAATCCCTGAGTCCATGAATTAGTGTGGGACTAACTAATATGAGGCTCTCTTGGCAGGTTGGAGCGGGCTCTGCCCATCGGATAGGTCACTTTGCTGATGTGCAGACCTAAGATGCTAAGATTGGGCTGCACCTCCTAGATTAGAGCTGCAGTTCCATTGCGTGTGCTGGGTGGGGAATATAGCTCTTGACTTCTACTGCCTCCTAATAGTACTGCTGCTTAAAGAAGCGATACCCGCTCTGGTTAATGAGCTAGAATGAGAGCAGTCTCTGCAGTGAGACACAGGCAGAAGACTGAGTTTACCTCTGAGATGGGTGCCAGCTTTTCCCCCAGCAACACCGAGGGCTTGCTTCATTTATTGCCTTGCAGGTGCCTTTCTATGCCACCAAATGGCTTTACCTGACTTAGCCCTAATGGAAGCTGAGGTTTGGACCTGTGCTCTAAAGAGAGCTTTAGTGAAAGCCACCTTGCATCTCCCGGCTGTTGCAGTGCTTTAGGCTGTTCTGCTGCTTTGGTTTATTGCTCTTTTCTCCTGGCTGAACAATGGTGTGAGTTTGACAGCAACTCTTGCCAGTTGTTGGCAAAACGTGGATCCCCGGTTGGCTTTGAGCGCGCTTGCAAAGCCTCCCTTCGTCTCCGCTTGGAAAGGGGAAGTAAATGCTCTGTTCTTCTCATGCTCTCCCCCTTATCATTTGCCTGTTTGCCATGAAAAGCTGCCAACTGCGTTCACGTTCATTGCAAGAGATGGAAAAAGACAAAGGGAGGCAAGTGAGGGCACAAAGAGAGGCTGAACTTTGCATCTTAGCTTGCAGCTCTGTGCTGTTCCCAGTGCACGTGGTGGAGGGGAGCTCTGAGCCTGCAAGAAGGAACAGCTTCCCCCAGAGTGGCTGGAAAGGTGCTTAGCCTTTAAATTCAGCATTTAACAAGCAGCGAAGGAGATGAAATAAAGCAAACATGGGATGGTGAAGTTCTGTTGGGGAGTGATGTGTGAAGGCACAATCTGAAGCAGATGCCTTTTACTTTGTGTGTTGGATAATCTGTCCACCTCTGCCTGCAGTTCTGTGCAGGATTCAGCAGGAATTGTGTACCAAAATGGGATGTCCATGGTGCTCAGAGGTTGCTTTTATATACTGCCTTGTGTTCCATCTGTATAAGAGCAGCTGGAATTGCAGGGCTTACCTGGAAGTAATAGCAAGACAAGAGGCCAAAGAGGAAAAGAGAGGTTCATTCCTGTGATGATGCAGTTTATGGTGATGCAGGATTGTCTGTATGCGTTACAGCCAGTGTCCCTTCCTTATCTTGTGGTTTTCAGTGTATACCTGGGCTGCTGTTTATCCATTATGCCTGTAATGAGGTGCTTTGAGGTCTAATCGTGTAGCTGTGATCTTGCATTGTGTTTAACGTGTCTGTTGCTTGTGGTGCTTTTGGAGGCCTTCAGCTGCTGCTTGGGATGCAAAATCCTCCTCACTGAGCATCTCAAAGGCTTGTACAAACCAAGGGGAGCTCTGGTTTCCCTTAGGGAAGCAAGCTATGGGGAGAGCAAAGTAGAGAAGCCTCACAGCACATACCCAGAGTGCTAAATGCATGGGCCACATCTTCAGTGATCAGTCTTTGTCCCCTTTTGTAAACCTCAAACGCTGCTTCTGTTTCCACTAACAACTCTCTAAGAGATGCAGCACTCAACGGGCTTACTCAAGAGGCAACCGATTGCTCAGCCCAGCCTGCCAGCTGGGACCCCTTCTTGAAGGATGCTGTATAGGCTCTGCAGGTTTATTTCCTCCTCAGGCTGAATTAACAAACCAGCAAAGAGTGGAAGATGGCACAGGGGCCGTGGAATCAATGAGGAAGCAGAAAACTCAGGGAATGAATGTAGGAATCTGCACGAATGACTGAAGGTGGTGGTGAGCAGGTTGTGTCTTCTCTGTTAGATCAGTTCATGGCCAACCATAAACTAAGCCAGGTTAAAACCAGCTGTCTCCTCTGTATGGTTATAGAAGCTAGAAAATGCAAGCCCAAAACTGCCAGGAGGGGCTATAAACAGTGTCTCCAATTCCCCATCCATCGGGAGTAGTTGACCCTTGGGCTTATGATGTTGGAGTGGAAGAAGCTGGCACTGTATTCCTAAATGCTTGCCAGCTTGGGAGCCAGAGTCACTTCCACCCTTCCCAGTTAGCAAAGCTTGTGGCCAAATCCTGCACTAGCGTTTGTTAATGGTGCTGCACAAGCAAAGCAGGTGCAATACTTCCTTTCCCCACCACCTTGGTGATCATGGCTGCTCAAAGAAACGCTCTAACATCCCCGTTTTATCCGCAGCAAGCACTCAGCTCTCTAAATGACAGCTTTTGGTCGTACAGCTCTTTTTTGCCATCCTTTTAGGATGTTGTTTGGAGCCATTGCTTATTGCAGTGCCTGAAAAAGGAGGTCAGTAAGCTTGTTATAAGCTCGACCATCTCACCAGGTAGCAGGGGAGCAGGAGTCGCTGCTGCCTGGCCGATTGCTACTGCCTTTCTCTGTAATAAAGCTTCCTAGGAGAGAGCTGTTGTAAATTAGCTGCTTGTCCATCACGCAGCAGCTTTCTGCTGGGCAGGCAATTAATGGTGCAGTCAATGAAATGACTCCATTTAGCTGTGACCTCTGAAGGCTCATCTGCCAACTCAAACCTGGAGCCGTGAGCCTTGGCAGGCACCCCCGCGATGCTCTTCCTAGTGCAGGGCACAGGGATTCCATAGCAGTGTGATTCCAAAGGCAGTGTAAATCAGGGAAACTGGTCTCCCAATCCATCTTCGTGTAAAGAAGTTCCTTGGAGGGGCTCGCTTTTGCTGGTGGTTAGCTTTGAGTGCGTGGTGAAAGGATGCTGTGCTGCCTGTGGTTAGGGCGGTTGTGTTTGTACAGCGTCTGCTGCTAGAGAGCCCTCATCCCGGCCAAGACCTGCAGCATTGCCATAAGCATCAACAACTAGGATCTATCAGATTATTGTTATTGTTATTTATTCTTTATGGTTGTAGTAAAAGGGAGATTTCACAGTTGGGTGCAGTATTTGCTCAGTGAAATCTGGGAGATGGCTGAGGGGCTGCAAGGGGAAGGTGGTCTCATCCATCCATCCCTGCTCACAAGAGGCTGGTCCTCCCCACTACTTGGCATCTGGCATTTTTCCTGGCTCCTGAAGTGTTTTGGTATCACCCCACCAAGAAGAACGATTCCAAGACCTGCACCCATCTGAACTGCAATGTAGTGGTTCAGAGCTCTTTATCTGCAAGAGCTAAAGCATCTCTGGTTTCTAACGATGCTCAGTGGTTTGTATGTAAACCAGGTATTCCTTGAGAGGTAACACTTACTTTTCCAGGTGCCAATAGATAAGTTTTCCCCATTAGCTGAGCTCCAGCAGGTTATTTGCCATCTCCAGGGCCAGCACTAAACACACCAGCGTGAGCTGCTGCTGAATAATGCAACAGATTCTCCTACCCAGGACTTCTATAAGGGGGGGGGAACATCAGGCTCCAGGTGGCATGGGAGCAGCTGGAAGGTTCAGCCTAACCTCTTACTGGGTTCTTACATGGATGGGTTTTAATCCCAGATGTCGTGGGGGAGATTTGCCTTGGTCTCTGTGTTCTCTGGTCTCATATCCCTTATTGCAAACTTTCTCCCTGGGAAAACAGCATCCTGCAGGCATCTTCCTGAGCTCCTGCTGCTTTCTTCTCTATGTAACCAGCTGCAGCCGGAGCACTCCCTCAAGAACTGATTTTCCTCACAATAAGCAGAGTACATAGAGGTTTTGTTACCACCTGGCTCCCAGCCTTCAAAAGCATTCCCTGGCTGTTATGTCTTAGGTGGGAAAGGCCTGATGGATGTGGCCCGATCATGGTTTTGGAAGGAGGGACCCTGGGGCATACGTGGGGTTGGTGGCTCTGCTCAGGGACGTGGCAGCTCAGCATTGCTGAGCTTGGGCTAACGGGATGAGACTGATGTAGCTTTATTCCAGGCTGCTTGGAACACTCCTGCCTTTAGGGGTTGGGTTGTATCTGCGCCCAGGAGGGTGCTCACTACGCATCTCCCAAGTGTAAGAAACCCTCTTCCCACTCCCCACGCTCTGCATCTTCCCATTCCTGCTTGTAGTGACAGCAGGAGGCAGGAGAGCCGCTGCTCTCCGGGTCCTCCGCCGGCTGAAACCCACGTTTTCCACATTGAAACCCACCCTCTCCTGCAGCAGTTGTGATTCTTTTCCATTCCCATTCCCCATGCACAGCTCTTTCCCACCAGCCTCCTTCTGTACAACCCAGAGGCTGCGAAATGCAGGTGGAAGGAAGGAAACACCCCAGCCTGTACCCCCCCCTTGCAGTTTAATCACTGTTTCAGTTCTCCCCTGCAGTGCTGGCTGCCCCTGAGGAGCACATGGGAAACCCTCCGCAGGCTGCAAAGGGATGCTTCTGCCTTAAAGCTCAAGAAGGGAATGGGAATAAATAGAACCCAAGCTGGGTTTTGCTAAGGCAGAGAGAAGGCTGCGTCGGGGAAACCCCAGCTCTTGAGTGGATGCAGGCAAAGCCGGTTGTGTTCCCAGGCCAAAGACCCTCCTGGGTACCTATGGGAGTACCCAGGAACCCCTGAATAAAGACCAGGGAGGATGGGGGGTGATGGTGTAAGTAAAGTGAGAGCAAAGGATGCTCTGGGCCGTACGTGTCAGGGATCGATGCCTCGATTCCCATGTATATAACACATCATAGGGCCCAAACCTGTTGTATTCCCTATTTATTGTCTAACTTTGCATGAGAAATAGCAGTTATGGTGTGCTGCAAACCCATGTGTGCCATCGCTGCTTGTGGGGTGCTGTGAGGGAGGGGAGCGATCCCCACTGAGCTTTAACTCCATCTCATAGGACTTCTATTCCTCCAAGGCATGGAAAGGGAAGGCTGAATCCCCAGAGCCCAGCAGGTTTGGTGTTGCAGGGCCATTAGCTCTTTTGCTTACAACTGCTGAGCATTAGATAGTACTTAATGAAGATGGGGCTGGCTCTATGAAGCAGCGACCCTCGCATGCTGGCAGTGACCCATCTGGTTCCCCTTTGTCCTGCAGGATTGAATGTTCAAGATGCTCAACAGAGCTGGAAAGATCATCTCTTGCTGTGTGTATCTGGTGGTGGAGCACGGCCCCCAGGCAGCCGAAAGCTCAGCTGCCCCTGGAAGGAAGGCAGAACGGGATCAGCGCAGTGTTTCCATTCGGGAGAGGTGAAATCTGCTGCTTCCCCAGGAGCACTGCACTGGAGAGGCAAGGTTGGGTGGTTTCTCCCTTTCTCAGCAGCGTTAATAGAGGGATACTGCTAAGAAGGTCAGTCTGTTTCCTTGGCAATGGCAGCTCTTGGCGATGCGCTCCCAGTTAATGCAACATGGGTGCAGTTGTGTTTCCGAGGACACAGATGGTGCCTGGTCACTTTTTGGCCTTTCCTCTATGGCAGGTTTGGGTATGGGTTTGGGGAGGCTTGGGTAAGGGCTTGGAGGGGTTTGGGTAAGGGTTTGGAGAGGTTTTGGGTAAGGGTTTGGAGAGGTTTGGGTAAGGGTTTGGAGGGGTTTTGGTAAGGGCTTGGAGGGGTTTGGGTAAGGGTTTGGAGAGGTTTGGGTAAGGGTTTGGAGGGGTTTTGGTAAGGGCTTGGAGGGGTTTGGGTAAGGGTTTGGAGAGGTTTTGGTAAGGGCTTGGAGGGGTTTGGGTAAGGGTTTGGAGAGGTTTGGGTAAGGGTTTGGAGAGGTTTGGGTAAGGGTATCACAGTATCACAGTATCACAGTATGCTAGAGATTGGAAGGGACCTCAAAAGATCATCTAGTCCAATCCCCCTGCCAGAGCAGGAACACCTAGATAACGTTACACAGGAATGTGTCCAGGCGGGCTTTGAATGTCTCCAGGGAAGGAGACTCCACAACCTCCCTGGGCAGCCTGTTCCAGTGTTCCGTCACCCTCACTGAGAAGAAGTTCCTTGGGTAAGGGTTTGGAGGGGTTTGGGTAAGGGTTTGGGTAAGGGTTTGGAGGGGTTTTGGGTAAGGGTTTGGAGGGGTTTGGGTAAGGGTTTGGAGAGGTTTGGGTAAGGGTTTGGAGGGGTTTGGGTAAGGGTTTGGAGGGGTTTGGGTAAGGGTTTGGAGAGGTTTGGGTAAGGGTTTGGAGGGGTTTTGGTAAGGGCTTGGAGGGGTTTGGGTAAGGGTTTGGAGGGGTTTGGGTAAGGGTTTGGAGGGGTTTGGGTAAGGATTTGGAGGGGGTTGGGTAAGGGTTTGGAGGGGTTTGGGTAAGGGTTTGGAGAGGTTTGGGTAAGGATTTGGCATTCAGCATCCCCTCAGCGTGGGCTCTTCAACCTGTGCACAATGATTTCCAGTTCCATTTTCATTGCTGAAGGTGTAAATCTTCTCCCACAGACCCGTTTCTCTCAGTTCTGAGGCAGAGCTGTGTGGTGCTGGTGCAGATAACAACCCAAACCAGGCGTGGGTGCTTTATGGCCATTTTAACTTGATGGTTGCCATTTTCTCCCCTCTTTGACAAGAAATGACCTCTGTAACTGTACTATCCTATCAGCAGTGATTTTCAGTACTCAAATACTTCTCCTAGGGCTGTTTAGAAGCCTCTGACCAGGAGCAGCAGCACAGGGAACATTGATTATATATGGCACGAGCTCCAGGCTTGTTTTGATGCTGATGAGCAGGGAAAAGAAGCAGCTCATGCTGCTTGCTTCAAAACTCCCTCTCTTTACTGAGCCCACAGGATCATCATGATCCCGAAGTGCAATAAATGCCTAATTGACCCGATGCACACTGTGAGGAAGGGACTGATGAGCTCCAGCCTCCTGTTTTTATCCCACAGTCACTGTCTCTACTAGAGCTGCCTTTTCTTTTCCCACGAAAGTCAGTGATTTGGTGCAATGCTTCAACACACACAATATAGTGATTAAAAAAGTGCCCTTTTTAGTTAGTTCCCTTTCTCAGAAGGGCTAAATCCTGGCTGGGCAGAGAGATACTGGCACAGCCCGTCTGTACCAGTGGTGCAAAGAGGGATGTGGGGTCTTCTTCCATAGAGCTCATCCTTTTTGGGTGATCACACAAGGGACGCAATCACAGCGTTTCAGAGCAGCGGCACTGGGGACAGAGCCTTGCATGAAGCCCTCTGCAGCCAAAAGGGGAGCTTTTGGTTGGCTTTTGGGCAGCCCCTTGTAGAAAGAACTTGCTAAGGGCAAAGTGTGTCCTGACTGATGCTCTTCACAGCAAGAGCAGAGCAGGATCAGCCTCCCAGGTGCTTTGTGTCAGTGAGGGAGCTGAGCGTGCAGAGCATCAGTAAATGATGCAGCGCTCTAAAGGCAAAGGGCCTCTAGTTTATGGCTTTGCATGGTCAAACCAGGGGTCCAGATGATGCTGAGGCCCAGGGAGGCCGCTTCCAGTGCAAATACTTAGCTGAAAATACAGAGCTTGCAGCAAGGGGTTTGTGATTTAGACAGACAGAGGGGCCTGCGCTGTGCTTGAGGAGGGGCTGGGCACTGAGGTGCTGAGCAAACCAGGGCCTGACTTCTTACAGAATAAATGAAGTTTCCTTTCTGCAAGGAGAAATCTTGTTCTTGATGAATCCCCCCATGTTGAGTTAACAACACCCCACGAGGGATGTGCTGCTGGCACAGCAGGGCCGCGTGTGCACGTGGTGGATGGAGAAGTGATGGTGGATTTGCTGCCTGTGTCCCACTGCCTGCCCCGGGTGTCTGTCAGCCTTCCCATAGGAACAAAACACCTTCTAGAGCCTCCGTCCCACAGCCAGGAGAGGAGGACCCCCACGTGTGGATCCTGGGGAGGGGGAGAAGCACAAACCTCCCTCAAGGATGGGTTGATGGTTAAGGATGCACCTGAGACCTGGTCAGCCTGGTGTAGCACATCTTGCTTCGTCTGTACCCCCTGGTATGTATAAGTAATACACATATGTAAAAATACACTTTATATAGAAAATATACTTTATAAAATGTATTTTTATACTTTTTATTATATTTCTACTGTATTTTTATACTTTATAAATATAGATCTATATAAAGGGATTTATACCTTACTAAAGTTCTCATAATGGTGGAAATAGTCCCTAAGTACTGCAGGAGGGGTCTCCTGTGAGTTAGGACAAACCTGTTCCATGTCCTGTCCCCTACCACGGTTTGGGTGCTGGAACAAGGCTCATATAGAGAGCCCTTGCTTGCATTTCCTTCAGTGCACTGAGCCCAAACACCGTGTGGAGCCATTCCCGGTATCCTTCCTCCCGCATCAGTTTTGCACACCAGTGGCATTTAACATTTAACTGCTGCTTTAGTGATGCTTCAGCGTCCACCTTGTGCTCCCCCCTGCAGAATCCAGCCCATAAACCGGGCTGTTGATTTCTCCAGCCACCTACAGAGACCCTTAACCAAGAACCAGCCCTGCGTCGCTTAGCACTTGCTTTATCCTCTGGTCATAACTGGGATGCTCTGGGCTCTCAGTTGGGAATTCACCCTGTACAGAGGCACAACTCAATGCTGGGTCTTTATTAAACACCACTGTCGTTTATTTGGGTGATGGATAGCTCCTTTATTCAAACAGAACAGTTTATTGACTGCAGAGCTCTTCTCATGCCTGTTTGGGATGAGTTAGCATTAAAAAAAGAAGGAAAAAGGCTTGGATACATGCAAATCCTACTGAATGGTGCCAAGTGTATTAAAACAAGCAGCAGAGTCTCTTCTAAGATACCTACAGCCACTGACAGTGTGGAAACAGCTTCCTGGTGCAGGGATGTTGAATGAACAGAGCCAAGGAGATGGCCAAGAGTCCATGTTTGCCCCCAGACAAAGCAAAGCCGGAGTCAGTGCTGCGAGCCAGGGAAACAGGGGGTAAAGCAGGGCTTTGAACAGGTAGAAAGGGGGTCCCTGTGAGGCAAGGGAGTCGCATGTGGGCCTTTGAACAGAAGGGAGAGGGGGGTTTTGACCCCTTTTCTGCCCTCCCCCAGGTTTGGGATCAGATGGAGTTCTGGTTCACAAGCCAAAGCGCCCATCCCAGGGCTGCTGCTGCTCGGGGCTGAGCTGTTTTCATCTAAAACCCCATCGAACCCACATGTTCTGGGGGAAAATCCCCAAACTGTGTCCTAGAAACAAAGCACTTCTGGTGCTGTGGGTGAGGGACACAGCTGAGTGACCCGGCAGTGGCACAGGGCTGAACCCAGCCGTGTTGCTGTTCCAAACCAGCATCGTGTTCTCCTGCTGTCAGGAATGAACCCGAGCTGAGCCCCGGCTCCAGATCCTGCAGATCCCTCCCCAGAATGGATCAAATACCCCCAGCAGTGCTCCAGGTACCACCTGAACAGCTCTGGAGCTGCTCCAGCAGCACGGCTGGAGGGAAGCTGGGTTTTACAGCCAAGCAGTGGGCAGGCCCAAGTGCCAGCATGGTCTAGGTAAGGCTGGAGGGTGAGTGGTGTCCAGGCACACTGTGGGATGGGGTTTAGCTCCACGCTAGGAAAGCAAAGCTTTTCCTATGGGCTGCCTCACAATGTTAAGACAAACACCCCCCCCGGTGAGCGGGTGGTCACACCTGGGTTGTATCTCAGCAGATAACACTCTTCCTCAGCCATTCCTGAAGTCGGGATTGGAAAGGATGTAAGGTTTATCTCTGCCCATCACACATGGGAGAGCAGCTGGGGTCTGGTTAGAGCCAGTGCTAAGGAAAGGGAGTCCTTCTCTGCTAAGGCTGGGCACTTCTTCCCCTCTATTTCTTCTCGGAGCCTCGTTTTACATCACCTTGGAGATGCATTTTTGAGAGGTTAGAAAGCCCAGCACACCCCTCGTGTTTAAAGATACCTGGCCGGCTTCCATAAGACACAAGTATTCAACATGATCACCTTTATGTGTTCTTTGAAAGGAAAAACAAGTTGACACACATGGAAGAGGAGGAAGGCAGCAATCTGGACTCCCAGAGCTGTATGGATCAACCTCCACTGCCGAGGTCTCAGCTGTAAGCCATCCTTGCTCAACGTGCCCGCCCAAGAGAGCCGGACATCACGTCTGTGGGGTAGCAGCACCTTGCTCCCAGCTGGGGAGCTCCCCAACCTCGACTGTTCTGTCTCTCTGCTGCAAGCCTGTGGTGTGAGTCTTGTCTGCTCCAGCTCGCAGGTCCTCCTGACTGTCAGCCAGACCATCCTGGCTCTCCATATCGCTCACCTGCCCCTCTCCAAACTCCAGGATGGTCGGTAAGTTCCCTTGCTTGGGGCACCGTCTCTTTAGGCTGACCAGGAAGGGTTGAGGCAAGGAGAAGATGTCCACGTTGTTACCCAGGTCGATCCAGGTGATGCTGGGGAACTTCTTGGGGTCCTTGAGGGCTTCGGTGAGGTCCCGTAGGACGCCTTTGGTGAGCCGGTTGCCGTTGAGGGAGAGGGTGGTGAGGTGGGGCAGGATGCAGAGGGCGGGCAGGAGCTGCAGCAGCATCTCATCCGTCAGCTCCGTGAAGCACAGCTCCACCGTGTCGATGTGCTCCGAGCTGTGCTGCAGGTAGGACGTGACGCGGTCCAGGTCCTTCAGGGTCAGCGGGATGCCCGACAAGTCCACCGTGTTGTCCTGAGGCTTTCCCATCAGGACAGCTTTCAAGCTGGAGCAGGGGGAAGAAAAGGAGAGGCTGGTTTAAATCAGTGGTGACAAGGTGAACCATAGAATGGAAAGGTCCTTTGGATCATCTAGGGCCATGGGCAGGGTTGCTTCACACTAGACCAGGTTGCCCAAGGCTCTGTCCAACCTGGCCTCGAACCTTAAGCATCCTTCGTCTGAAGAGTCAGGCCCTCGCTTTAACAATGTCAGTTCTAGTCTTAAAGCCTATTTAACATGGGAAAATAGCTCCAGATGTGTAGGACCAAACAGCTCCAGTAGAAATACCTTACCTGGGTGCAGGATCCATTGAATCATAGAATGGTTTGGGTTGGAAAGAACCTTAAGATCATCCAGTTCCAACCCCCCTGCCTCAGGGAGGGGTACCTCACACTAGACCACATCACCCAAGGCTCCATCCAGCCTAGCCTTGAACACAGCCAGGGATCCATCCCCAAGCACCCCTCGGTTGCAGAACAAGAAGGCTAACTGAAACTACCGATAGTTCTCTTTGTTTAACACAAGGTTTTGTAGTTCTTTTTCTTATGGCGATGCAAAACCTATCATTAAATGATCCAGTGCCATTTATTGCTCTACATCAACCAATCTGGACTCCCACTAAACTGCCCTGTGCCCTGGGGACCCATTGCAGGGGCACTGCTATTTGTGGTTTGCTGGCTTAGCTGCAGCCTCAAACGCACACCTCCACAGTAATTTAACAGGATCTATACTTATCCCTTTAGAAGGGCTCATTTAACCTGTACGTGGGCAGGAAGATAGCTGTTAATGTGATGTGCTTCTCTCAATTGGGACTTTGGGGGGGGTGGTGGAAAGAAACCAATGAAATAGTATATTTATTATTACAAGGAATAAAGCGGTGCTCATCTTTTGGCAGCTATTGCTCTCCCATCCGTACCACTGCATCACTGCTGGAACAGCCCCAGCAAGCGAGGTGTAGAGAAGCTGGAGCCCTCCGGGTGATGCCTCACTCATAACCTCTTCCCACCTAAATGAACTAAATTACTCTTGTCTTGCAGCGTTTGAGCACCAAAGGTGGTTCTAGTGGGATCAAGCTGTCAAGTGAAGCATGGTTTCCCTGCAAAGAAGTGAGAACCGTTTAATAGTCTGGCTAAAATCAGCATCTAGGGGTTGATCCTTGTTTCATCCAGCACAGAGGGATGCTGCGCGCCTGCCTTCGTGCAACTGCCTGTGGGGCTTGAACTTAGCAAAGCCATGAGGGTAACAAAAGGGGAATAGGGATAACTTCAGGGCAGCTCTTGTGTTGTTTGGAGCTGCCTTCAATAGTGCTTCACATTGGGTTTTTCCTTGCTTCTGCCAGCAAGTAAAAGAGAATTCCTCACTAGGGCTCCATCAGTTTCCCCTTGAGAGGGATTTAGCTGGTACCTACTGCAATGGATTGATTATCTTGTATAAATAGCCTTTCCCCCCTGATGCTCTGCACTCTGTATCCATGGCAGAGGAAATCTCTGGAATCACCGGGTTGGAGCAGCCCCTGTGCTTGTGTTTGGGGGGGGGGGGTGGAATTTGCTGTTCCGCAGCAGCCTGCGCTCAGTCTGTCCCTTGGGAAACAAAGCAATCCCAAACCTGATTTAGTAGGAACAGTTGTGTGGATATTCCACAGCTCCTCGTGGAAATGAGGGGGATGTCTGCTAGCAAACAGCTGTGAAAACGTTCAGCCCTGCCATAAAGGTTGCTGCAGAACAGCTCCAAAGCTCTGGAGGAAGAGCTTACCCTTAACCAAATCCCTATGAGCTCTAGTGCAGGATCAGTTACTCCCACTTGGTTTCATCCGCTCATTTTATAAGGATATTCCATAGGGGAAGAGACAGATTTTCTTCCCCATCTGGAAACACTCTGTGGGGTTTTGACCAGCATAATGATAGGATTGGTTATACAGTCATGCACTAAACTGATAACACTTTGGCAGGATGCTGATGGGAAAGCGGTATTAACTCAGGCCAGAACACGTTCCCCTGAACAAGAACAGTGATGTTTAGATCAAAGAGCATTAAAAGAAAGGGATTTCCTCCTGGTTTCATTGCTCTAAAGCACAGATCAGGACATGAGTTGCCCATGAATCAGGTAATAAAGTAGAATTGGGCTGTTGAGCCACTTCCTTAGGGGTGGGCAAAGGAATAGCTTGAGAAGAAGGAAGAGGCAGCCCCATAGAGTGAAGAATTGCAGTAAGAGAGTTATAGGTGAGAAAACTACTGAAAATGAGTGGATTTGATGAGTCACCAGGAAAAAGCTGAGATAAAAGACTTGCCCTGGACTACTTACTAAGGTAAGCCCTCCAGAGCCTTCTCAATGTCCCTACTCCTGCTTTAAATGACAGGCAAAAGACCGGGATCCTTTGGGACTGGAGGGCAGGAACATAAAGAAATGCAGTAAATGCTGTTAGTAATAGTGTTCACAAAAGGGTTTAAACTCCCCCAGCCTCAGAGGAGGACCAGAGGCAGGGAAATCTAATTATTTAGCTTTAATGAGGGATGTGATGGAGGTGTATGTAATACAGCTATATTATATAGGTGTTATAGATAATATATATATCATTATATAGCAGCCTATGTTCTGTGTATATAAAATGGATGTGTAATAGTAAGGATGAATAAAACAGAGAAGAGGAGGATAGGCTGCTCTTTCTTTGGTGCTTTGACACCCACTGATGCTCAAACACTAAACTCCCAGGGGATAAAAGGGAAGGAGCCTGTACACAGGGCTCGGATGAAGCCCCAGCCCCAGCCAGGGGATATCACTGAGCTCAAGGGCTCTGTGGGAGGTCCAGAGCAGAACATGGGAAGTCATGTTTGCTAGGATTTAACAGGAGAAAACAAAAGGAAATCGGGTCTGTGTCCTGGGGTGAAATAGGAGGAATCCCATAACTCAAACAGGGCCCTTTCCCTTCATCACCAGGAGCCTGGAAAAGGGTTGGTGGGCCTGAGACCCCCAAGATGCTGCTCCAAAGGCTGTGGCAGGAGGCTGGGAGCGTATCATAATAGACCCATACGTGCTGTGTATGTTGTTCTGTAGCTGCTCCTTATTCAATCTAGGGAAAGAGCCAGAGCAAAAGGCTTCTACTTACACCAGAAGCAAGGAAATGACCCTATTTCCCAAGCTGGATGCAAAAAGCTCCTGTTACCAGGTTCGTGATGCTGCCTGCTTGGATACTTCCCTTTTTCCTCCTCCTCTTTTGTTTGACAGAACCCCAATGTGAAGGATGAAGCCCAAAAGCAATGCGGACAGAGCCCAGGTCAGGATGGGACCTCCCAAAGCTTGGAGCCTACATGGGACCACCACAGCTTATGCTCACCCTTTACTTCATCCTTATGTTGGCACTCCGATGTGTGTGTTCCCTGTTGTGATTACTCCTAAGCTCCTTGTCTAGTGCCACCCTAAATAGAGGTTTAAATAGCATAATTGACACTCTCTGTTGTTCACAGCCTTCACAAAGGAATAGCATGGAAAGATTTCACTTCTCAAATTGATTCAGGGGAAAGAGGATTGTTAAAGGTATAAATGTAAAAAGATGTCATTTTAAAGTCCGTTGCAAGCTTACCAATAAACACATCAGCAGTTCCTGAGTCTTTGCTGTTAAGAGCTAAAGCCCCAGTGGGAATTAGCTATTTCGGGCTCTTCTCATGCCAAGAGCCTTCCAGTTTTGCTAAGGTATGCAGTTCTAATGTTATAAAGCCTGGACATCCCCTTTGCTAACTTACTTTCCCTGCTATCAGAAGTCCAGCCTGCTCCTCCGGTGATCCTAAAGATCTCCTATTGCCATGGCAAGAGCAGACCCTGGGCTCCTTCTCAGCTCCAGCACAGCCTGGTTTTAAGCATCAGAAGAAGAGCATAGCTGGAGGGGATGCTGAAACCTTCCCTCGGTGTTCTCCCTGCAGCAGCATCCCATCACTGCAGGCTGCTGCTGGTGGTGCGGGATGCTCGCAGCAGCCCCCTGCGTGCCCAGGCGCTGCTCCAGGAATAGCTCTCTGTTTAGACATCTTCCCAAATCCCACTCCGTTTTCCTTGGCTCCGCAGGCCTGCTCCTCCTTACCCCATCGAGCTTGCTGTTGGATGGCAAGAGTAATTTCTGTGCACGCAAGAGCATCCCCTGCACCGGGATAACTGATACGGGCCGAGTGGCTATGGCCACAGGGCGGTAGTGGAAGGACCACGGGCATCAGAAAGATCTTGATCCATATCACAGTGAGATAAAGCCCATTAATTCACGTTTCTTTACTAAATTGACTCATTTCTTCACTAAATTACTCCAAACCTGTGCCGTGTCTCCACAGACACGCATTAGTCTAAAATACAAAGGAGAAAGAGCCGGTTTTAGCCCTGGGTGATGCTGACCCTTTCCACCA